CCAGAGGGAGTTTTCCACTACTGTGTATGCTGGTGACTCAGCTGCATTGTTAAGCTCAGTTCCCCTATTATATGTAAACGACCATTTCACTTTCCTGGGACAACTCATTGCTTTGTGTTTCTTTTGCCTCTTTTTCTTTTGGTCATTGGTAGCTGAGCTAAGCGGGGCTGAACCTACCACTAATCTTTCGGGTTCCTGTTCCCTTTTGTTTTGCTCTCGCAGCACCCATCACACCACTAATTATCATGAAGGGAGCTAGCACAACGTCTTAATTATCTAGTCAGGCGTGCCAAGCAGTCTTCTTAGTTTAAAATTGTGAGCCTCGTTTATACATTCTTCCTGTCCAGAATGTCAGTAAGAGACGTAGTTGCAGGAAAAAATAAAACAGAAACAAAAACAAAGTACCTGTGACTCGTCCAAAGCTCACTGGTCTATGGCTCACTTAGCAAAGCCCCTCTTTAGATGCAACGTGGCTTTTGTGCGTTACCAGGATGGCACTGACAGCGAGGCTCCTGTGGTGTGAATTACCTTCACTGTCAGACAGAGTAGGGGAATGGATTTCCTCCTGGGCGTGACAGAGAGAGCTGGGTTTCCTGCCGACGCTGCGGCACGGCACGGCTATGCTCAGATCTGTTCCAGTTCCTGCCTCAGCCTTTTGTTCCAAACAACGGTTCTATAATGATCCAATTAAACCAGTTCTTTTAGCTAAGAAAATGGTTCGCTTTATTTCTTTACCCAAGTAGCAGATTCTTCTTTTTTCAAAAAATATTTATTTATTTATTTAATTCCATTTGTTATTATTATTAAATTTGACCAGAGAGAGAGAGAGAGAACGGGAAAATGAGAAAGGCAGTCAGTAAGTCCAGGACTTGAACCACACGCGGTTGGCCATGTGAGTCCAGCACCCCAACCACCATGCCACCTGCCAGCCCCTAGATTATTTCCTGAGCATGATTGTGCTGTTCTGTAAGGGGATTGAGTTTCCAGTTAAGACTCCATGAGGGCAGTCTGGTTTACCTCTTCCCTGTTTTGTGTGCTGGGATTGGCCGAACCTTCGTGTATTGCCTGAGGTCAGATAAGTATGTGGAGAACATAAGGTATGAAGTGCGTCTCTCTGATATTATTAGGTCTGCCAGGTAACCTTTTAGTATAACATGAGGGGATTTAAGAAGTTCATGGAAAAAAAATGGAATTAAATTTCAAGTTATTTTGGTGCCAAAAAAAGAAATGAAGTCCATGCATAATTAACTTTCTTCTTTCTTTTATCCTTCTTTCTTATTTTTCTTTCTCTCCTTTTCTATATTTTTCTCTCTTTTTCTTTCTTTTTTTCTCTTTCTTCCTTTGCTATAGAGTGTGTGCACTTGCCAGAGAGAAAGAGAGACAGAGAGGAAAAGAGAAAGAGAGAGTGAGGAGGCACTCCCCAGTGGAATGGCTATACCCCAACCCCTTCCCCTCTATTCTCATTTTGGGATTTTGGTCACACACACACACACACACACACACACACACACATGCACACACCTGGTGTGGTTTTGAAACCATCAGGTTCAGGACTCAAATTGTGTAGTCAGTCTTGGGGGATCCAGCTACCCTAACCACCATGCCATCGAAGGCCCCTACCTAATTTCTTCCTTTTAAAAAATTTTGCCAGGGCCAGCATGTGGCATGGTGGTTAAGGCACTGGACTTCCACATGGCTGATTGTAGCTGTAGCCCTGGACCTGGCAGCTTGCTCTCTCTCTCTCTCTTGCACATGTGCAACAGCAAATTAAAATAATAATAAATTAAATCAAATAACTCTTACATTATTATTATTTTTTTTTTTGCCAAAGGTCATGTGTGCTCGCAGTAGTGACAAGAGAGAAAGAATGCGAGGGAGCGCTCCCCACTGGGCAATGGTCACCTTAACAATCCTTTCTCCTCTCTTTTCTTGTCTTGGGATTTGGAGCACACACGCACAGCTCCCTTCCTTGTTTCTCAAGTCACCAGGTCTGAGACTCAAACCGGGCCATCAGCCATGTGGGATCCAGATGCTTTAACCACCATGCCATGGCTGGCCCCGTAATTTTTTCCTAATACACATTTTCTATGACCTGCTCGAAGGCCCCACCCAGTATATCTCAGGCAACATGTGGGACATATTTACACAAAAAATTATTTGTTGTTTACCTGAGATATGAATAAAACTGAGCAGGTTGTGTTTTTATTTGCTGGCAACTTCAGATAAGATCCTAGATTTGCTTCTAATGAGACAACCCATGCTCTTTCTTTCTTTTCTTTCTTTTTTTTTTTTTTTTGAGATTTTTGCTGGAGGGAACATGTGTTCGTCGGAGAAACAGACAGAAAAAGAGAAGTCACCCCCAGTGAGGATGCCTGCACTACAATCCCTTCTCCATTCTCCTCCTGGGATTTTGGGCATGCATGCACACGTGCCCAGTGTGAATTTTAAGCTGCCCGGTCCGGAACTTGAACTGCAGTAGACTATGTGGGAGTCCAGCGATTGTGAGCATTACGCCATCTGCTGGTCCCACCCATGCTTTTTCTTAAAACACTTAAGTTGAAGTAACAGTTTATAGACTATCCGAGGGGGTATTTAGCAATAATAAGAGATCAGCACAGTGCTTGATGGCCCTTGCTAAGTCATCTTGTTATGGGATCAGATCTGAATGCTATTTTCATGCGTTTGATGACAGAACGAATGATATAAAGGGGTGCCCCTGTCACGTGCTGCCCTGCCTGCTTTGCCTTGTTGACCCTTTCGTGTGCACATCTGGAGTCAACAAGACTGTAAACTCACCAGGGCAGAATCTATGTCTCCTTTGGGTGCTCCTCTGGGCCTCTGTACATGCTAGTGAGTGCCACAGATGATCATGAGGTAAGATGTAAAGGCCTTGGTACGAGCGACTGCTGGGTCTTGGGCCAGCAGGCTGTGGAGTTTAAGGCGCTGGATCCCATATGGCCAACTCCATGGTGTGAGTCCCAGACCCAGTGACTTGAGAAACACACTGAGTTCTTGTGAGGGCATGCCCAAAATCCCAAGAGGAGAATGAAGGAGAAGGGATTGCAGTGTGAACAACCCCCTGGGGGAGAGGGTGATTTCTCACCTTCCCTTTCTCTTTGTCTCTCTGTCTCTCTCCAGCAAGTGCATGCATCCTACAGCAAAACATAAAAAAAAAAAGAAGTTTGAACACTGAACACTGATGAAGGTTCTAGCGATCTCACTGGGAGTTCATGCTGTGCTCCAGGAGCTGGGCCAGAGGCCAGTGGAGTTGCCTGGTGTGTAAATAGAGCTGGCCTGAGCTTTAGGGAGAGTCCATCGGAAGCCCTCCTCTGCTGCTCCAGAACAAATGCTCTGTCCTTGACACCAATAGAAGCAGCAGCCTCCCTACCACCTGTCAGTGAACCCCTGCCAAAGCGTAATTGTACCAGGCTGTCAAGAGAGGAAGCCTGATTTCAATAAGCCCTGGTGGAGCCGGGGGTGTGCGGTGCCTTTCCATACCTGTTAATGAAGCCTCATTAGAAACAGTGAGAGCCTTTGCTGGGGCTGGAAGCACCCGTCTGCCATGGCTCTCTCTGCCAAAGAGTGATTAACTCTGATTTACGGCAGCTGCTCCAGAGATCACAGCACAGAGGAGGCTGAGCGTGTGCAGCCCTGCACAGCACGCAGTTTGGTGGAAACTCAGGGGCGTGTGCAAATCCATTTTCCCCTCCTTCCAATGGTTGAACTGACTTGCAAGTCCTGAAAAATACATGGCCATTCAGAGGTGTCTCCATTTGATGGCCGACATCTCGGGGTGCGGGGCTTCTCACCTTTCAAGATGTCCAGGTCTTTAGATTAGGGAGTTTGGTCTTGGCCAGGAGGCGAAAATCAATAGCAATAAGAAAGAAAGGGAAGAAACAGATCTTAGTGTCTGGTGCCTTCGAGGCAGAGGGGGCAGCTGCGTGCTTTGTCTTCTGGTGGGGCCTTGGCACCAGGGGTTCAATGATGAACAGCTACGGGGGAGGATGCTGTGCTGAAACACAGCGTTAGGTGGTATCTGGCTTATTTCTGTGCCTCCATCAACAAACTGCCTAATGTAAAGTGTAGTGCAAACTGTCAGTAGCTGCTCTGCCCATGCGACCTATTCAGATAATTCCTTGATACCTGCAGGCCAAAAAGGGATCCAGCTAGGGCAATTCCAACCAGGAAACCCTATTTCTTATCCTGCTTCTCTTTTATGTTTTCAGAAGAATACATAAGGCTTCTTTTGTGTGGGCCCTGGCTGTTAGGAATGTCAGGTATGGGAGTATTCAACTGCACCCTTATTGAATACGCCCCCTCCCCCTCCCCCAGTGTGAATTAGCAGTTCACAAGGACCAAGACTCAGCTTGAATATTTTGGCCTGCAATTCTGCGTGACAGGTAGGCTGCCAGAAACTTGATGGAAGAAGAAAGAAAATGAGGCTGAGCTTTCCCCCCTTTTTCTTCTTTTTCGTGTTCTGTGGTTTTAGAGGCCCTGAGAGTACGCAGTAGGACGCAGGTGGTGGTTTCAATTTTAATCAGCAGGCCGGAGCGCCCTGCCTGGGTAGGTGGCAGATGCATCCACTATATTTAGTAGCCCAAGTCCTGAGAGAGCTGGGGAAAGAACCCTAGAAGAACATTCTGAGCCTGCAGGTGGGGCGAGCAACCACAACCTAAGGGACCCCCACAGGCTTAAGGTGAAGTTCTCTTCAGGCTGATTGAGAGGGGTTCTGCCCGTAACAAGTGTCGTGTGTGTGGGAGCATAAATATGCACGCAGAGGACACTGAAGAGCACAGCATACTCTGTGACGCTTGCACGATGATACATGCAATAGCATACCACGCTAATTCCCTCTCCCGCAAGAGAAGCTTTTTATCCCCTTAAATTGTGGCAATCCTGCACACAGAGATTTCCCTCAAGGGGCACTTTTACATTTGGGAAACCCAAGATGACCCTTAGATGGCGCAGCGGAGGGGAGTGGTCCCACTCAAGGACCCTTCCAGAATCCTTCATGGAGTTCCATAAGCAGAGGCCAGGCAGGCAAAGTGACTTCCATGTCAACCCTGGAGGGAGTTGAACAAGGAAGACTGGAGGCTGCACACAAAGCATTTATTTGGAGAGTGACAGGGAGGCTGCTCAAGCTGCAGGCTACTTAAATTAAAGCAGAAGGGTCCTCTCCACTTCCAGGGAGCTTTCCGGCTCAACTAAACCAACTAGAGAATCCAGCAGGAAGGCGCAGTCAGGGGAAAGCTCCTCAAGCGAGTTCACTGATCCGCTGGCGAGGGAAGCAGCAATTTCTTCATGAATGTGGACGTCTCTCCATTAGCTGAAAAGAAACACATGCGCGTCAGAAGCTACAGATGAGGAAAATTGGTGAAGAGTGCACAGCAGGGCTGATGGGAAAGGCGGGTGTCTTAGGAAGAAGAATTTGACCTTCAGAACAAAGCAGATTCGGGTTTTAAGTACCTGCCCCATGGTGATTAGCCTGGAGGCCTTAGGCTCATAACTTAAGGTCCCTGAAGATTTGTTTCTGTCTGTAAAGGTGGAATAATGGCACAGTCCCAGCCAGGTTTTCGGGGAGAGATGGAGATAACAGAGAGTCCGGGGCTGCACACCGAGATCCTAGATGAAGTGCCCACATTCTTAGAGTAACTTCAGCCGAACTTCACTGCCCTTTGTGTGTGTTCAAAATGACTTTGTGTATTTACTCAGATGTTCACAGACACCTGAAAAAATCAGATGTGTTAGGAACATCTGGCTTTCATAATCCACAGAAATCAACCCACCAAAACGACAGAAAGGATCTGGATGGCAGGAGGGAAGCGTTAGGTGGCTCCCTGGCCTTGGCCTTTGGGAGGAGGAAGAGATGTGACACTTCCAAGAAGCTCCAGTTCCAGCTCTGCCCCCACTTCCTGTGCGACCATGACCAAATCTTCTGTCCTAGGCCCTGTGGTGCCTCCTCTTGCATCATGAGCGGTTGGACTACAATGGTTGCTAAGTTGTCTCTTAGAGCCGTGATTCCGTTTCCTAGTCAACATATGCTACTGAAGGAAACATGGTGGGAAATATAAAGAGAGAGAGTGATGCTAAACAAGAAGGGGAGGGACTTCTGGAAAGAGGTGGCGAGGAGACTAAGCCCCAAGGTGGATTTATATGCCTCTGGAATCCTCATCTAATAATAATAATAATAAATACATATATGGAGGCCAGCAGGTGGCGTGGTGATTAAGGTGCTGGACCCCCACATGGCCAGCTGCAGTGTGAGTCCCACCGAACTTGGCAGCTTAAAAAAAAAAAAAAATCACCCCAGGGGGCATGTGTGTGTTCCCAAAATCTCAGGAGGAGAATGGAGGAGGAGGGATTGCGGTGTGGCCATCCCTTCGGGAGGTGATTTCTCAGTTTCCCTGTCATTGTCTCCCTGTGCACACATACACCTTCTGACAGAAAACCTAAAAAATTCTGTCTCTGGTGAGCACATACACCTTATGACAGAAAACCTAAAAAAAAAAAATTAATGCACACATATACATAGACACGCACACATGTGCTTACGGCAGACTTTGAGCTTAAAGAGATGTCCAGGCATGGGGTGCACCTGTGGTTTCGGAGCACTGGTTAGCGAGGCTCTCTATTCCATGCCGCTGAAGCAATCCTAGCAGCTACTGTGCGTACTCCAGGTGTGTGTATGTGAGAGGGTGCGGGCCTTATATGTGAGTATATGCACCTGTGTGTCTATATCTCCCTATTTTTGTAGATGTGAGTAGGAAACTCCTGGAAGGACAGAGCGAGGCTGTGGAAATGTGCAGGCGTGGGGTGATTTCTCCTTGTTAGTACACTCACTTCTACTAGTTCTTGGGAACACACAGCTATTTTGAAACCGTGAATACAACATTCTTTTCGTAAGGAGCAAACGAGGCTTACCCGCTCTCCTCTCGGTCCAGCAGCGCGTGGCAGGACGCGACGTCGGTCTGCAGCTGGCACTTGCGCGCCAACAGGTGCGCGCGTTCCTGCTGCTGCTGCTCGGCCTCGGCCCGGATCTCGCTGAGCTCCGCCTCCAGCCTGCCCACCACAGCGCCCAGGTTTTGCAGCTCCATGTCGTGCCAGTGCTTGGCATCGTGCAAGGTGTTCTCCAGGCCTCGTTTCTACAAAAGAACAGATGTGGTCTACACTCCAGGCGGGTAGGCCAAGCCCTTGAGCTGGGAGGCGCGCAGAGCAGTGGGGAGGGCTGGCTGGCGTTAGGGTCTGTCAATTCCTCCCTGGACAGGGGTCTCACCTGCTGTGGAGACTGTCGGGGCCATCTTAAGTGTGACTGTGAGGGAAATAAGGAGCCCTCCTCAGGGGCTCGGACTCTAGTTTGATTCAGTGATATTTTGAGTGGGAGGAAGGGCAGTGGGGAAAGAAAGAAAAAGAAGGGGGTAGAAAAAAAGAAAAGGGAAGAGACCGCGAGGGAGGGAGGGAGAGAGAGAGGAGAGGCACTTTGCAGGTGCTTGTTTTTTCTTTTTCTTTTTAATTGCCAGAAGGTGAGTGCCCTGGTTACAGAGAGACAGTGGCCACACTACAATCCCTTCTCCATTTCTCCATCCTGTTGAAATCTGGGGCATGAATGCACATGCCCGTCACGTGTTTTTCAAGCTGCTGTCAGGATTTGAACAACGTAGTCCCTTAACCACTAGGCCTCCAAGTCTGCCCTTGCAGGTGCTTCTTCAAAGAAACCTTGTTCTCCCCAACTGCCTCAAGGTCCTCTCCTCGGAATTCCCTTAAGGGGGACTTCCTGCCTCCACGGCGGAAACCCCACTCGTCCTGTCGAGCTG